AGCATGAAGTCCCTCATCTCAGTAGGAAGGTGGCTTTCGAACCTAATTACAAATACTTAAGTGCCAACTTTGTTAATCACTTCATTGCAGAGTATTACAGCAGATCTGAAGTTATCTTCTTTCATTTGAATATCTTTCCAAGAAAAAGGGCAGAAACCTCTCAATTTTCAAAAGTGACATTTTTTAAAATGCAAGTTACTCGTGATTAGGATGATTCTCCCTTCACAGTACAGTAAGAAAAAAATAAGAAAAAAAATGAACTAAAAATTTAGGGAGGATTTCTGAAGTATCAGGTGGTGTCCAGAGTGGGTAGGGCCAGCTACGGTGATGCCCAGAAGTGAGAGACAGAATGACATTGAAGTTTGAAGAGGCAGTGTGAATGCCAGTAGGTGGATATATTGTTAGGTCTGAAATTACACTGGCAGCTGGTCTTTTGATAATGGAGGAAACGAAGGAACAAGTTCCTACCCTTTTCTGAATAATAGGAAACCGCTGAAAGGGAGACTGAGAGATGGTCATGTTGTCACATTGCCAGGAGCAAGATAACAGTTTCTCTTGGAGTATTTTAATTCCCTGTGGTTTGTAGAGAGAGGGATTTAATTACAGAGAGATCTGAACTAAAGCTCTTAATGCAAATATCCCTATGAAGATGGTGCCAAATCAGGACTTTGCCATCTGCACCTGTCTTCAGAAATAGGATGGCAGGACAAAAAGCAGTGGTAGAAAAGCAAGACCTCAAGCAGGATGATTGCAGCAAAGTAAAATTCTTGCATCATCTCATGTGCCGTGAGGAGTCTCACTGATGAATAAGGTCATGTGGATAAGGCGCTGTCTGAAATGTAATAGCTGCTGTTCTTCCAGGCTTGAGTGTGGCTTCATGGGATGTGACTGGAGTTAGGGACGTGGGTCACAGAATGAGAGAAAAGTTTAGTACGTGTTGCTATGATGTGAAAGTCAGGTTAGACAAGTGGAAGTTAGAAGATGCCCAAAATATATTAATCTGTGTTACTTCTGCCAACATCATGACAGAGGTGACACAGAGAAGCCAAATGGAAAAAAACCTAGGCAATAGATGGAGAAGAAAGCAGACAGTGTCTTGTGAAACACTGTAATGGAAATAACAGTTCAAGAGATAAAATGTCAAGCAGATGTGGAAAGGGGAATTTCTGAAAACAGGCTTCAAAAGAATAGGTTAGGAGAGATAGTTCCCCAAAACAACTAAGAACTGGATTAATCAGTAATTTGGAATATTTTAATGAAATCCAAGAATAACCCTAAGAGATGGTTTGTTGATGGAGGCCAACATTGAATAAGCCACATGGCATGATTTAAGTTGTTCAAATGGATTAATGCAGACTTAATATTTACATAGGATGATGTTCATGTTTTCATCATTAGAATGCACGTTTCTTACTGTATGGTTTTTAGGATGTTGGTGTCTTCTTAAGATGAAGCCTGATGGTCATGAAGGCATTCACTAGAGCAAACTAATAACTCGTTATTTAAATAGCAGTCAAATCTGGAGGCAGGATTGCTGTGTCTTTTTATCTGTGAAACAAATACTTTATAAGCATTATCTCTTGAAACCTATCCAAATAAATATATCTACAAGATAAATATGAAAGCATTTCTTTTATAACAATATTACATTCCTATAACCATAAATATAGTAGTTAAAGATCACTAAAGTTCTCAAGGTGTTTTGATTCCCCTTTTCCCTTATAGGCTGACATGGACCAAAGCATTTCAAGTCTCTGTATTTCAGCTTTAAGAAAATCAAGATCAGGGTTATGAAATTTGTATGCAGAAATTCAAGGTTGTTTTGTGTGCTTATGAAGCTGCAGATGATAAACAGAATTACTGATTTATTCAGTCTCATAGTCAGGGTTGTTTGATTGTTGCTACAAATCCATAGCTAGTGTGAAGTAAAACAGAAAATTGCATACATTTTCTCATGTTAGTTTTCTGTGCAAGATAGTGTAGGACTGCAGGGGGAATCCTAAAAAAAAAAAGAAAAGTGGTCACCAGACTTTTCTTCTGAGATTTTATAATTCTTGAACATTTCTTTGCTAAGGAATTTTGAGGTATCTGAAGAGTTAAAGAGTTTTTAAATGGAGTCTGTTATGTAGTAGTTCCCCACTGTGTCACTCATGTGAAAAGAAATACTTCATGTGCTCAAAGCTAATTCTCACCCTTCAGTGCAATAAGTGTGGAGGGGAACTTCTTGGAATCCATTGTATTTTTATATAATGAAAGTCTTCTATTAGAAATGACACGTTCTGTTTCACATTCTGTGATTTGACTAAAGAAAGCAAGTCAGAAAACATGAAACCTTTTTTCCTTAGCCATTCCAGTTTTATTGCCTGCTATCTTAAAACAGAGAGGCAATAGGAGAAAACACTATGTAGTATATGCTTTCAGGCAGAACATAATCAATTGACAAAATATCAGAATGTGGAAGCATATTGGCTAATTCTTCATTTTTAACCCATGTACACAAACTAGAAAACACTGGGAAAATGCCTCAACTGAAATGGTCTTTCTTGAGATATTTCGACTGTGTTTGGTGGGCTGTGCTGGGAGATAAGGGGGCCCATTCGCCATGATCTGTCATCTCTCTGGTCTTTTTGCTGCTAATAAGCAAGCAGCTTTTGATTAGTGTCAACCATTGAATGGATGTTTTCTTGTTAAGCAACTGGTGATCAGCTCTACATTGCACAAATAAGTGAGTCTCTGAATGCAGCCTCCCATCAGAACGGGCTTTGTTTTTTCTCTCCTTCTGTCTGCTTTGCAAGTAAATTGTTCCTGCTACAAACCCGTGTTGCTTGCTTCTCTCACCCTTGGTGACAGCAAAGCTTGCTGGCTGGTGATCTCTGCAGGGGTTTATGGCTCAGCTCTGCTGTTCTCTCCCTCTGTTCCCACTTCTCTGTTCCCTCCCCTACTGTGACTAAATAAATTACCTGTATGACATGTTCAGTTTTCTCTGGCAAGAAGCCTGGGAAATCAAATCTGTTCCCGAACCTGGGTCTCCCATTTGGCAAATATAATGCCTCCCTGCTGTTAAATCAGGTCAGCTCTCAGGAAAAACAAAGAACAATTTCATATAACTATAATCAACACAGAGTAAATTTAGATAATGCTGCTGACATATGTTTATTGTAAAGACCATCAAGGAAATAATTTTAAAAGCTCTTCATCTTTCTCTGTTGCATCAGGATACATGGTGTACATTCTGTGCAAAGAGAAGATCAAACATTTTCCTTCTGCTTTCCCATATCAAAGTGAAATATATCTATTTTCTGCCCGGTCTAAGAAGATATTTGATGAAGTGGTTCATTGGTTGTGTTAGAAACAGTTTTATGTATTTAATTACTGAGCCTTTACATAATTAATTGATAATTGTTAATTACTATTAATTATTCATAACCTGTCCAGTTCCTTTGACTTTCTGGCCTCCAAAAGTGGAGATATACTTAAAAGTGTTTAGAATAGGAAAAAAAAAAATCCTTTTAATGGATTGCGTTCTCTTCTCTACCTTTCAACTCAGCCCGTTTCCACTGGAGATCAGAGGCAGTGGGTCAGTAGCAGACATGGCACAGGCACTGGCAGTCCTGCAGCACGTGGCACGTGTGGGCAGCCCACTCACTTGTGTGCCAAGGCTGTCACCTTGGAGCGGGGCAGTACTGGTGTGGGCAGCCTCCCCCTTCCAGGTGAAAGCTGAATTTTCTACTCTCTGTGTGTCCCTGAAGGGCTCTGAATTACACCCCAGAGGCTCTTTTGTTTATCCACTGTTAGCGAGCTCCTGCAGACTGGAGTAGGACGGTGGAGCATCTCCAGTTATCTCCTGTCTGGCTTTATTACAGCAGGACTCTCTGCTGGAGGAGCAGAGCAGGGATTTCTTTTGGGCAGGTGGTTGTTGGGGTCTGAAACAGCTACTGAAACCCTGAGCTTGCCCCCAGCCCTCCTAAAAGGCAGAGAGGAGTAGGCAGTTCCAAGTGGCCCTGGGGGATGCTCAGGGCTGGTGCCACGCTAACCCATGATGTTTGCTGTGCTCAGCTCCCAGGACCGACTTTGCTGCCACTTACTCAAGAGAGTCGGTAAAAACTGGAATTTCTGGCTGCTTTGTAGTCTTACACATTCTTAGCACCACCACTGACTAAATTGCTGCTGAGATATACCTGGGGGCCTTGGCTGGAAGCATTTTCCAACCACAGCTGAATACCAGGTTGTCTTACCTGGAGGAACCCTGGGAAGAACAAACCGTGTGGGATATCTTGAGCAGCAGAGCCAGCTTCCCAGGGCTCTGCCCAGCCTGCATGGTCTGTGTTTCAAATTCACCTAGTATTTCGTTCTCAAAAGCAGATGGGGTCAAATTATGTGCTGTGTTTTTAAATGGTACGTGCTTTTCCAGATCTTTTTAGGGACAGCTACAGTGTTGTTAATAATTGTTTAGTCATTCATAAGTTGTCTTTGTTCTAATGAGTGCCTCTGTTGTTTCTTCGTTGCTCTGAGACTCACAGTGAATGTTTTTTCATCAATTTAAAAAAATCCTTCACAACTCTGCTGTGTAACACAAGTCCTTGAAATGGAAATTTCTCTTTATTGTCCAAAATCTTCATCCAATGTGCCTAATGAAGATTAAGGGGTTAAAGCAGTGAAATGAGTTTTAAAAGATGGGAGTTCAGTTCCTGCTTCCACCGGGAATGACCTGAAGCAAGGGCCATAATCTCCATCCACGTCTGCTGCTGTCTCAAGAACTGACAGTAGCTACGTTATCTGTCCTCTGCTTTGGCATATCAGTACAGATTGCAGATACTGTCTCCTACTGCAAAGGTGCAGGACCTAACTCTGAAAGGCTTCAGCTGATACTGTAATATAAATAATTTCAGCTCTGTGTTGATGGCAAGGGCAAAGCTTGTCTTGTTCCCTTCCTAGCATGTAGGTTGCCGAAGGCGTTGCTGGGCTTATTCAAACCCTGCTTTATTTCTTGTCTTCTGCAGCCTGTGACCTGATGACCCTGGGGATCTTAGCCTTGGTGACGTCCACTGGTTGTGCCTCGGCCAACGCCCTGCAGTCCCTGACGGACGCCATGCACATCCCGCACCTTTTTGTCCAGCGGAACACGGGAGGCTCCCCCCGCACCGCCTGCCACCTGAACCCCAGCCTGGAGGAGGAGGAGTACACGCTGGCCGCCCGCCCGCCCGTCCGCCTCAACGACGTCATGCTCAAACTGGTCACTGAGCTGCGCTGGCAGAAATTCATAGTGTTCTATGACAGTGATTATGGTAAGCGCTAAATTCCTTTCTTTTTGACTGGGAGGTAGGGAGGAAAGTATAAAGGGAAGGGTGGAATATAACTTGCTGGGTCTTTCATTGACAAAGGAGAAAGCGTTTCAAGTGGACACAGGTCTTTGGCTTGAAGGAAAGGTTGCTGTGAGAACTAGTTCTCAGACAAGGAGCAAAGTTGCTTAGCAACACCTACCAAGACAGACAAAGTTGGAATCCTCTCGCACTTTTTCAGTAAAATATTAATGAAGTGTTGACATTGATAGGCAGGGGTCACACGGGCGTGCAAGGAAGTTCAACATGGCCTCTACCCGCTCCAGAAAACACTTGCTATCAAAGCTGAGAACTGTTCTCTTTAAACATTAATTTTCACAATAACTATTACCATTTCTTTTTTCACATGCTGCCTCACACTATTCTGCATTAGGACTAAATTTCACAAGGGTGTGCTTCCTGGCATTAAACCAACTGGAAGAGTTAGCATTTTCACTCTATCTGGTACATTTCCTTCAGAAAAATTTTTACTTGGGCTGAAGCTCAAAGAAAAGCAATCTCTGCCCAAGCACGTTTGGTGCATTATGATGGGTGCAAAGAATAATGAAAAAACCAAATCTCTCATTGTACCAGGCTATCAGAGTAAAAGGCAACTGTGTTTCCATACTTTTTTTTTTTATGTTCCCCCTGCCTCCCACTCAACTGATATGAACACTGTTCCATATGTTTAATTCGTGGTATTTTCAGCACACTTGTCTTAGGATACGGGTCTGTAACAGGGAAAATAAATGAGGAGTGGGAAAAATAAATTTTCTATGGTATGTTTTAAAACCCTGCAAATACTTTTGCCTTAAAATGTGATGTATAATCTTTTGATGTGGTGACTTACCATGAACAGAATAAAAAGAAAGGAAACTTAAGGTTAAATCACAGTAGGAAAAATAATCTTATGTGTGCCTGTGCATATAGTTTAGATTTTATACGTAGTCTTCCACAACTGCACTATAAATCTTTATTTGCATTCTCTATATACTATCAGATTTTCGGTGGTGAATCAGAGAGAAATAAAACATCTTTTGTTTTGAAGTTGACCTAGTCCTGTTTTAAACAACAAACAAAAATGAGAATGGTTTTAAGTGGGAAATCAACTGAGGCTGTAACATCCTTTTAATGATATAGAATTATTTTAAGCATGAGAAGAAGACTACCATGGTGTTTGTAAACTTACTCAATCTGTAGACTCAAAAATCTAGCAACCCAGCAAGTAAATTGCCATGTAATTACTGTCCTATGTAATGCTTGAACAGTGAATGCTACAGCTACGGGCAAAGCTACAAGGTACATGGTAGGTGTTCTTGAAGTGGACTTCTGGTAGTGATGAGAAAGTTGCTTTTTTACAGGGAATTGAGTTTAAAGAGTCAAAATTCTTCTAACAGCTATTTCAAGAATAAAGAAAAAGAAATCTTAAAAGATGTCTTACAAACAACCCAGATGCTCTATGTGCAAACTGCCATTACCAGTTTTGTTACTTGAACCATAGTATCACTTATTCCAGTAATACATCTCTGTTTCTTGGCCTTTTTTTTGGTGGTTGTTTGTTTTGGTTCGTTTTTTTGTTTTGTTTTGTTTTGCAGAGGCTTACCATCTCTGTACAAAATCCTGAAACCCTTAATTCACATACTCTGTAAATTCAGTTATGATCAAATTTATCTTTTCAGTTTCCCACAAACTGGATCAGTAAGACAGTAAGGTTATGGAAAATTGCCACAGCCTTTCTGCTCCTCCCAGTGGAGAGTGTGGTGTCCCTTACAGCTACCCTTGTGCTCTTTCCTCTCCTTCTCCTCTTGGATGTGACATCCTTCTTATACTAACTCCACTAGGATAATTTTTTTTCACAAGAATTTGGTGGGAGGGGTTTCCATAACGAAGCCAGCTGGACCTTGCCAGCTCTGGGCAGGAGTTGACTGCTGGCTGTGAGGAGGGAGGTAGGTCGCTTGTTTAGGATTACAGAGCATTTCCAGCACCGGGCTTTTGTGGTTTTCTATAATAAATGGTCCTTCTGTATCTGATCTCTGAAAGTGATACTGTTCCTTGGAGTAGTGTTTTAATTTGTCTGTTTGCTGATCCCTAAAAGCCATCCAATCCCTTGGTGTCTTCCTTGTGGAAATGGTGAGATTTTCTGAAGATGAAATAGCATTGCACAATTTAAAGAAGTCCCATGTTTATAGTAATGCTGTATTGTGTTGGAGCTGAAAATTATTTACTTAGTTAATTACTTGTCCCTTATCAGAAATACATTTTGAATTATAATTTCTGCATTGACTAAATTAAGGAAAAGTAATGGACTTGGAGTTTAGAAATATACCGTAGTCACTGAACAGCCTAAAAAACCCTTAATATTGTTGTGCTTACTATAAAGTATGCCTTTTTTACACTGAAGTGACAGATAAAAATCTGTACACACAACTTCAGTGAAAGAATGTGGTCCTTTCCAGTAAAGTACCTTTAAGTCTGCAACAAGAAATGGAGAGGTTTCACAGAAGAAAAATGTGGAAGTTTTAGTGAAAAGTTTTCTAAACGACAGTGGTAGAAGTAAGGTCCAAACTGTGGCATTTAACCTAATGTGAAACCTGCCCTTAGATTTTGTCACTTGTTGTGAAGGAACAGGTATCAGCAAGCAAGGGTAATGGCTTGGTTCTGGACAGGTGACCTTTTAAAGACCTCAAAGCTGATAGCTGCAGCACTCAAATTCTCCTGGATGATACACTGCTCTCCTGCTGAGCAGTACCAACAGGGGAAAGGTTGGTTGATGCTTTATCCATATGGTTCTCCTGTACTTATAGAAGAAATGATAAGAGTTGATATAGATACACACCTTCATGACTTAGGCCTTGTTTTTCCACTTCTCTCATTTCTGGTCTTTGTGCAGTTTCAGAAGATGCACAGAAATCTATTCCCCGTTGATCACAGTGGGAGCTTGCTGCTGCTGAGACTGCTGCCTGATAAGAAAGTGGTGGCTAGGCATTATAGTCTTTACCATGTCATCTTGAGAAGGTTTTCTACCCCCTGTTTGCTTCCCTTTCCCACCTGTGAAAGAAAAAGTCTTCCTCCCTGTGTGGCTGCAGTAGTGTTTGAAATGCCTCTAAAATTTTTAGAAACAAAATTAAGTGGTACAGTCAGGAATAAGGCAATTCCAGTAAGATCTTAAGGGACCAGGGTCATGTTAAATGCATCATTTTACTTTAAACATTTTTACGAAGATCCCATGCTAAATCATGGTATTTGACATTCATTTTCTGGGGGAAAAAATGAGTTTGTCAATGGCTGTCAGATGGTGCTCTGTGGAAATAGGTCTGCCCACCTGTTGAAGGACCCACAACAGAATTCAGAACTGTTGTATCATCCTAAAAAGCTTCAGCTGTGCTGATGTGTTTTGAATCAATTTTTACTCTGCAGGGGCATCTTTTGTGCCTCTACATATATTGCAACAGTGTGTAAAGGCCTTCTGGGAAGTTTAATGTTTTATTTTACTGACCTTCTGGATGTAGAAGCATCAGTAATCAAATTTTCTGACAGAAAAATTGGTAGCATGGCAAGTTTCATAAAAAATCCTACCAAGCTGTAAAATGACTATAAGTTAAAAGTAGTGTGTGCTGCCCACAGTAAGATGAGGTTGGATAATAAACAGTTGAAACTGTGCTTCTAGGGTGAGCAAATAAACAGATGTATGGTTAGAGCATGGATTTGAGAAGAGTTTTGGAAGCTGAATGTGAAAATGAAAACAATGAGGAATATTAAGTCATATTTCTGAAGAGAAATGTGAGTAATAGTTATGTTTTCACCAGCTTAATCTTACTGTTGAAAAACACTTCATAGTTATGTTGTCTCTCTACTTGCCTACATACATGTCTGCATATCCATATTACAAAATGTAAGACAAAAAAAGGTATTATTAATGAATCCATTTTGTCAATGACAATGGTATTAGACCTATGAAAAGTAGCTGCAATATTTTATTCTCAAGTTTTGGTGTCATTAAATGAGTGCCATCTGTTGAAGAAAAGTGTTCTATGAAAGTTTTACAGAAGAAACCACTGAAGAATTTTTGACTTTCCAAATCCATGGAGCTTGGTTCCTACAGAGGGAAAAATCCCCAACCCACAATTTTTTGATTTCCAAGTTGTTTTCAAATTTTTTTTTTTTTTTTTTTAGGTTTAGAGATAATTTTTTTTTACTGATGCTGCATTAACTTGGAACACTTCTTGATCATTCTTGCTGTGTAGGAAGAACTTACTTCTCAATATGAGTAGTTTTGTGGGAAGTTGTATTTCCCACAGCAATTAGGTGGCAGTTTTATTTCTGAGTCCTGCCTTTCAAGGGCCTCACCCTTGATTATAAGTTACAGGAATGACGCTATTAATAACTTTACAACTTGCTATTGATCCTGGAGTGGTCTCTCCTTTGTCAAGGTCCCTTTGTGCAGGCCACTACTCTTGCCATTATTTAATTTGCAAAGGAGTATTGTAATGAAAATTGAGAAGTGCATGCATCTACACAGTCCATGTGTAACACTGCAAATCACTTGTGATGTGAAGCACTGGCTGTAACAAACAAAAAAAAGCTGTGTAGAGCATTTGCACACAAGCTGCTTTCACCTTACCTGCTTTACTTAATTTTCCTGTTATCTGTATAACATAAGTTATCTCTCGTTTTCTGAGTCATGATTTCAGCTGTCAGACAACCACTTCTGCATCACTAGGGCTGCCATATTTCTCAACAGGCTTTTCCAGAGCATGCCTTGTTTAATGTAAATACAGGGAATCTGGCACTTGAAGTGTTGAACCAACAACACATGTGTTGGTAGGTGCCTGTTTAGCAAATCTTACATTACCAGGAAGTGTTAGGCTTTTTCTGCATGTGCTGTGTGGTTGAGTTTGCATGTGTCATTAAATTGTCTTTTTCAACTTGTTGGTGCATCCCAGCTGGAACTGTTACAGAGAAGCTTC